CATTCGTTCGGCCCTAGAGTACCTTCTCTCCGGTTCAGACATCGTCTTGATAACATAAAACACCGGGAACTACTTGCCCTCTTTGCAACGGATCAGAACGGCACTGGTCACTATACTGGACACCCCGAGATATAGAAAAAGTTTCTCATTCGGTTCTGGAGCAGACAAAACTGGAGGATTACGCATGTACTCCTTCAGGCTGGTTAGTGCCTGCTGTTGCTCATCCCCCCCAGGTTTGTCTTCCATGCCCTCGTATTGTATCAAAGAAAGGTTTACAGCGGTCCGAAAGCTTGGAAATAAATCGGCTCAGTGCGGCTATCCTGCCTGTGAGTGCCTGCACCTTTGTAATTGTCTTTGGTTCTGCATTCCTGATTAAGGCTTCTGCCTGTGCTGGGCTGACCTCAATTCCTCTATGATTGACCACATGTCCCAGGAATTGTCCGGAGCTCACACCGAATGAGCATTTGGCCGGATTAAGCTTCATCCCATACTGGCGCAACACATCGAATACATCTTGCAGGTGCGCTAAATGATCGCTCTTCTTTTTACTCTTGACCACCATATCATCAATGTAAGCCTCGACAGTGCTGCCCATCTGGCCCTTAAAAATCTTGCTGATCAGCCTCTAATAAGTAGCTCCAGCGTTTTTTAATCCGAATGGCATGACTTTATAGCAATAAGTCCCTCGTTCAGTAACAAATGAAGTTTTCTCTTCATCAACTAGGTCCATAGGAATTTGGTTATAACCGGAATAAGCATCCAGGAAAGTCAACCGCTCATATCCCGTGGTGGCATCTACCATTTGATCAATCCTGGGCAATGGGAAACTATCCTTTGGGCAGGCTTTGTTTAGGTTGGTGAAGTCGATGCACACTCTCCATTTCCCATTCTTCTTCTGCACTACAACAACGTTAGAGAGCCAGGCCGGGTACTGTACTTCTCTGATGAATCCGGCTTCAAGCAGCCGATCAACCTCCTCAGCTATAATTTGGTTTCGTTCTGAAGCAAATCTTCTCTGCTTCTACTTCACTGGCTTTGCATTCGGATCCACATTGAGGGAATGGCAGGATACAGCAGGATTTATCCCCAGCATATCTGAATGGCTCCATGCGAATACATCCGCATTCCGAATCAGGAAATTAGTCAACTCTAATCTCTCTTCTTCAGTGAGTTTGGTGCCCACCCTTGTTGTTCGGTCTGGTTTTCCATGATCAATCTTTGCTTCACGAAGGGGTTCTGTGGTCAGAACTGGCGGCTCCTCCCCCCCATCCTTGCTGGGAGAAGGGTTCTGTAATTGCTATTTTGGAATGGCAGAACGGATGGGATTTTTCCCTTTTCCAGCAGATTTCAGAGTTAATGAATAACATTCTTTAGCCGCAACCTGGTCCCCATGTATATCTATCACCTTGGTTCCATCCGGACCTAAACATCGCATTACTTGATGTAAGGTTGACGGAACGCCCTGAATTCTGTGAATCCATCCTCTGCCCATCAAAAGGTTGTATGACGGATAAATTTCCACTACCACGAAACTTTCAGTCAGAACCCGCTCAGCGGCTTGTACTGTCAATTCTACTATTCCAATGGGTTCCACTCGCTTCCCATCAAATCCGAGCAACGGATTCCCTGTGGGTTTGAGTTTTTCGGGTGCGATCTCCAGTCGGTCGAACGTTACCCTGGGCATGACATTTGCACTACTTCCTGGATCAATCAGGACTCTCCGAACCAGGCATTCTGCAATTGTCAGACTGACGACTAGTGGATCTTCATGAGGAATCTGAACGCGTAGCAGGTCCGTTTTATCAAACTTTATCAATGTGGACGCGTTCTGCTGGTGTAAAGCATGCACACTGCCAATTCTTCTTTTCAGCTGGGCCTGGCGTAACCTTGTCCTGAGCAACTCCTCTGACTCCGTCGTTTGTTCAGGCCGGCCATGAATTGCGTTTATAATCCGGACGGGTTGGGAGTTGTGCTGGTTCAGCCTCTGGTTCCGCTTGATTTGCTCAGTCGGGCGATAATGCTCTTGTGCCGGACCCTGGACATAGCTCGCAAACTCCCCCTTCGCGATCAGCATCTCTACCTGCCTCCTTAGGTTCCTGCATTCGTTAGTCTGATGCCCAAAATCACTATGGAAAGCACAATGTTTAATCTGATCCCTTTGTTCAAGAGGTTGCCTGATTGGCAGAGGAGGACGAAACTTATCTTTGTTCTCCTGGTATAGCCTTGCTAAAGTGACTCTGAGTGGAGTGACTGATTCCTCCTCCCTAGGCCTCTTCTCCGCTTTCCATGGGGGGTGACGTTGCGGTTGAGCTTGTTTTTGCCGGATCTTGGCTTTGGACTTCTCCTCCGTCGAAATAACTGACGTCTTCCTTGAATTAGCTGCTTCTTCCTCCTCGAGGCGAACAAAACCGTCAGCTCTCTCGTTCAGCTCGTCCATTGTCTTTGGCGTATTAACCACCAAGCTGGTGTGGAACGGCATCCCCCGGTTCATTGCGAGTTTAAATGCTTGGACTGCTGTGGACGGGTGGCACTCCATTACCATGCTCTTAACGAGGTTGAACCGGGTGAGAAAAGCTTGGAGCCGCTCATCCTCATGCTGCCTCATTGTAAAAAGGCTCGATACATCCTTAGCTGGACGCTTATTCCCATAATACTGGCTTATGAACTTATCGCATAGGTCCTGGAAACTGGCGATTGAGCCTTGAGCCAGATTCTTGAACCAATTGAGAGCTGGTCCAGCCAGGCTCGTAGGGAAACACTTGCACATCAAAGGATCATTATTAGTATTCAAAGCCATTTTTAACTGAATATGGTATATGTGATCGACCGGATCAGTTGTTCCGTCAAACAGAATGAAGATTGACATGGAAAACTTCTTCGGATTCGGCGCGTTCAGAAATTCATCAGTGAACGGTGATGCGACCGTCCTCGCTGAGGAACGCAATGCTTCGTTTTCTCTTGAAAATCGTGACGGAAATCCTCGATCGGCAGATCTCCTTTCCGAGCTATTGTAATCAACTGTCGCTAATGAAGGTCTGTATGGCGGATCGAACGACCTATCCTCCGTAAATTCACTCCGCCATGGTGACGCAACCCGATGTTCGTACGCTAGTGCTTCCTCCCTCATAATCCGTTTATGATGCGGTTCCAGACGAACAGATCCTTCCCGATCTTCTACTCTGCCGGCATTCGGAGGCAGATTACCGATTATATCTTCATCACGACGTAGACCACCACGATTGACGTCTTCTGGATCACCTTGACGATCAGCTTCGGACGGTAAAGCTCCCTCTCCTTCAAGAGGTGGCCTCGGAATTACAAGAGCCTCACGATGCTCCATTCCAGCTCGTAGCTCTGCATTTTCTTTCCTCAAAGCATCGATCATGTTCATGAGCTCGTCGAGCTTTGTCTGCTGGCCGTTCTCCAAAGGATTCGAGTTCGCCTCTCCGATCATCATTCCAGATCAGAGCAAAGTCATCAACTGCAGACTTCTTGACCAAATCGGAGCTCCGCTAACGCGCGCACACCAGATCTGAACTTTCACTTGCTGAATTCAGTCCGCTACTGGCCGGATTCAGTAATCACAACAGATCGCAATTGCGCAGTTCGCCGGATCAAGCACGGATCTGATCTGCTTGGATCGGACGCCAATTTTCCGAAATCAACCGGAGCCTTGACTCGTCAAGACAGATCGTATTATCATCAATGTTGATTCAGCTTTCGCAGAGTAGTCGTCTTCCTCGCAGAATGCGTTGAATCGATCCGACCTAGAATAATATCAATCAATCCTTCTTGTTCTTCCCACAGACGGCGCCAATTGAAAGTACAAAGAATTGTTCCCTAATTGTAGAGAGAGAAACTTTACACTCCCAATGATTTTTTTTTCCAACCTCCTTTTCCCTCTTAATCCCTTCTATTTATAGACAGTTACAACCTCCACTGAGCTGATCTTATCCTATTCTACTTTGGCTGGACTCGGTTCCTCCCATTTCATCATGGGCTTCTGAAATGGCTTTATGGACCTGGGCCCATACGACGCGAACTGGCTCCATCCCGATCCGATCCATCCTATGCAATATGGATCATTCCAAGCCCGGGTCGTTTTGGTATCCTCAAATAATAATAATAATATTGCAGTATTGTTTGAACATGCTTGATTAGAGAACTTCTTTTCATATTTAAGTGCATTTTGTAGTCACAAAAGTGGTGGTGATATATAAAAGATTGTAAGTTTTTCTTATTGATTACAACTTAAAATTCAATGTAAATTCATTACAGATACAAAATTATTTTTACAAGTTTAATGAAATCATAGCAAAAACAAATTTATGGGATTTGGTATTAAAACATGTGTATCCATGCATTTTGAAGGAAGTAACCAACATGAGTAACCACATAGGTTATGCTACATCCATTACATCACGCATCCAAATACCTCACATTTTACAAAACCAACCTTTATTTTTCCTTATAACTTGATCAGTTCATTTTTAATTAAATTATACTTACTCAGATATGAACCCCTTTTATCCCAATAAGATCTCCCAATTATCAACAGCAGGCAAGTACTCCCCTATATCTACACCGTCAAAAACATTAATCTCTGATTTTTTTTTTTCTTAGTTGGTACTCACACGCATGCCTCCACCAAGGCTTGAACCCCTGATCTCCCTTTGGGAAGTAGGAGCCTGGTACTCTTCTCTTGGTTACGACATTGGTTAGCTTCATTCTCAACCTCTCTGTCTATATATATATATATATATATAATGATACATGTTATTATTTTGAGTTACATAAAGGCTGATTAATAAGTTGTTTCCATGGCCATTCTCAATGGTGCCAAGAGCTGGAGCAAGGGTGCAGGAAGGAGGTGGCAGTACAGATGATTGTGTCAACATGTGTGTGCCTACTCTAAACTCATTATAGTGCATCCAAAAAAAAAGGCTAACAACAAATGTGAAAACTAACTATAAAAATCAAGTCAACCTCTTTGCCATTACCTCCACTACGTCAGGCCTTGAGCAGATCTGTTTCAGTTCAGCAATCTTCATCCGACGTTGAAGCTGAAAGAGAGTGCAACATTAGCCTTATAATACTCAAGACATCATCATCATTATCACAACAACAATAATAGTAAAGGAGATGTTACAAAGCAAAACCTTTTTCTTTTTGTTAGAGATGCCTCCCTCTCTTTTTTGATCATCTTGCTCTTCCTCTTCTGAATCCGAGTCCACCTTCTTATTCGAGGCTGCATTGAGTACAGACTCATCCTTTTTATCATTTCCCTGAAAGAGTTTAAATGGAAAGTTTTAAGTACCAGGTAAAACTTGCAGTCATAATTTATTTAAATCTGTGATCAATGGCCGAGTAAATCTCCATTTACCTCAGAACCAGCAACTTCCTTAAAATTAAATTTCTCAAAGATTTTTCTGAATTCCTCATCTAAATTACCATCAAGTTCTGCCGTTTCTGGTACATACTCCACTTCAACTTGCTTCAAAGCCTATCAATTTCAAAAACAAGTGAAAACACAGAAGTTATGATCTATACGCCAGAATTAGCAGTTTGATAAATTGTCATCCATAAACGATAATGTAGCAATTTCCACATTCACAACACAACAACTAATTAACGAATAAGATTCAAACATAAATTTATGTCAATCAAATCAACAAGATATATATATATACAAGAAAACAATTAGATAAACTATAGGTAAATTACATAGAAATCTACAGAAAAAAAAAACCCATGCGCTACTGAGCATGTACTCCTAAGAAATAAGAAAACAGCATGTAAGACTTTGTTCAATTACAAGGAAAGTGTAAAAATAGTACAGGAAAACAAATACAAAGTACTCCCTCTATCCCAAAATAGTTGGGCACTTTGGGAAATGTTTTGTGAGTCACAGTTCCCAAAGTGCCCAACTATTTTGGGACGGAGGGAGTACAACATATTTTGCTCTTTAGTATCCAAGGGACGTTACAGTCAATACAATGACGGCTTTTTACTTTGGGTAAGTTTGTTCTCCATGCCAATAAATAATAAGAAATAAGGTGTTCAAATTACTTTCTAAACTCAAAAAAATTCCTAGGATAATCGGGACAACAAAATATTTATGGTTTTTATTGTTCTTCTAGTCTAATAGCAACCTGCCTCTAGCCTTCACCTGACAAGAACCCACGTAAGCAGGACGCAAATTAGTCTATGCCCTTTTTATTATCCTTCTCTTTTTTTATCACAACGCCATAGATTGGACAGGTTTCACGTTCATCAATAGAAACACCAACCACTCTATCTAAATGTGCTTAAACAAACCAAATTATCAAAATCAGTGTGACTTTGTATATGAAATTGCCTTTTGATTCAATGTTCATCCAGTAATTAGATTTTTAGTAAGGTTCTAGCTGAAACAGAGTGTACCAACTAATTAAAGCTTTAATTCATCTGATATCGGTTTCTAAACTACCAAAAGGAGTATAAGTGAAACCTGATATGACTTACATAGCTAGATAGTCAGACAATCAAATTAGAAAACCCACAATTCAAGTACATATAACTGCAGTGCATTGCATCTTCAACACCCTAAAGCAGATTGCATGCAGAGTGTGTGCTGGAAAAATCACCAGTTTCTATACAGCCATCTACAAATAATGCTTAACATCCTAGAATTTTAATACCAAACCATCAGCATGCCTACAACACAACCACCAAACAACCACACACTAACTGAATATTCACTAATGCGATAACAATAACAACCCCTAAAACATAAACGGGAAAATGAAGAAGGAGAGAGCATATGATCATGAACGGGAATGAAACGAATCCTCAGCAGATAGTCAATGTGTTTCAATAGAAAACCCTAATTTTTGCTGCTATCAGATGCAAGTTCAATCTTATTCTGATAATTAAAAGTAAATCCAAACCAATGCAGAATATGTTACCAGAACTAAAGAACCTATCGACATAAGGCGAGCAATAAAATAAAGCCTTCATAGGAAAATAGCGAACTTAGAAAACCCTTATTTGCGGCAGATCTATGACCCAAATCCACCAAATAACCTCCAAATATTTGTATCTCCATTCAAATAGTTACAATGCACTCACGACGGACTACGAAGTGAAAACCCTAAGAAACTACCACGAATAAGCGGATTAGAAAGACCTTTTGAGGGTCGGCGTTCTCCTTAGCATTGTCGCCGTCATCTGAGGTGGCGTCGCTGTGGTCAGCGGCGGTGGCGTCCGTCGCAGACTGAGAGGCCTTGTTGTTCTTCTTCTGCTTCCGTCGCCTCCTCCGACGCTCGCTCTCCCGCGATTTCTTGGCGGTGGCGTTTTGATGCTTGCGATTGCCGTTGGGGTACGAGAGAGCCTCTGCCACGCCGTTTGCTACTTCGGCTGTCATCTTCTTCTTCTCCGTATTGTCGACGATTGATTGGTTAACCAGAGAATTCTCAAATAAAAGCTTTGCCCTGGTTTGATTGATCTCTAACCAACCAACGGTTGAGTTCGGAGAGGAGAGATACACACAGGTACACACAGCGAGAATCGTATTGTCACTCGCTTAAAATAACCACGAATATATTAGACACGTGACAAACAGCATATGGGATTTTCAGGTTTTATATAGCCACTTTTGTTTTTTTCTTTTTTTCTTGGGTTAATTCTTACACCCTCTAAGTTTCAATATTTCATTTACCTCCTGAGATTTTGAATTCAGTACCACGCTACTCCCTCCTGTCGTCAGGTCAATAACAGTTTGTGCTGATGTAGTACAAATAAATCAGTACAAGATCTATTTTGCCCTTCTAATATTCGAAATGATATTTTTAACCACATTCATCAACGTAAAATTCCAAAACTAACCTTACACCACCACAAAATTACATACTATTACAGATTTTTCTCTACCCTACAACTCCTTGAACAGTGGTGTTTCTCAAACACAAGGCTCCATACCGCGATTGGGTCGTGGAAAGGAGTTTTCGACGAGGGATTCTAGCGGCGATTCGGCGATCGGCGATTTTGTTTTCTCTAACCTTGATTCAAGAAAAAGGGAGGAAGAAAGTAGTTAGAAAGAGGAAGATAGGCTAAAACTCGGCACAGCGGAGGCAACACCATCACCGCCTCCGACACCGATCTACCTTCATTTTTCCTCGATCGTCTCTGTTTCGCCGGTTCTGGATTGGGGTGATGGATACTACAAAGGCGTCGATCAAAACGACGTTGCCGTTTTGACTTCGTTGAAATTTGATGAGCTAAACCCAGGCCGTCTCGAGCCACTTGTACTTGACGCTACAACTCCAAGATTTCGTTGACGTCGACGGAGTCGAACGAAGCACTGATGCACTGATGCGGTCGGGTTCAAAGGTTGATTCGTCCGAGTTGGACTCGGGGGTGAAACGGATGCCGATCTCAAGCGTCGTTGCCAGAGACCATTTGACTCGTCACTCCAAAACCATTTGACTCGCCCAGAGATTTCGTTTGCTCTTGGACTTGTAGACAAGTTTCTGCGGTCTCCTCGGGTCCCTCGTTTAGTAGCTTGTTAAACGTATTTTTGATATCTAAAAGCTGGACTATTCTAAAAACCTTGCCATTACATCACTGCCTACCCCATATTCATGGAGTAAAAAAATGGCAAGAACGATTGATTTTCATTACATCTCTCTCATTGTCGATTGTCGCACTTTAATGGATTGATTTTTGGATTTATAGTCTCTTTGTTTCATGGTTTCAAGAGCTTGTTTGTTTCATGGCTTCAAGTGCTTGTTCTCTCTCTCTATACAGATGGAGCAAAATTAAAGGGTATTTTAGTCTTTTAGCTTCATATATAATTTATTTATTTATAAATATAATATATAATTGATGGGTAAAACTGTAAAATCACATAACTCTATTAATAAAGTAGAAGGCAGTCAAATACTAGAATATTGAAACTCAAAGAAGATGTAAGTAAAATATGGTTAAAAGTGGAGGAATGTAAGTAGAATTAGGCTGTTTTTTTCTTATGGGCAAAGTACAATGACAACCGTTAGTAAGACCAGTAAGTTATACATAAGTCAAAAATTGGATCGAAATAATTCTTAAAAATTGAAAAAAGTCAAAATTGCCCTTTAACCTTAAATTTTAAATTATCAAAACTCTTAAATGACGCTTTATATACTCTTTATATTTACACCTCAATAGAATATATATATATATATATATATATATGCTATCTATGTATATTGTAAACCACCACCATACACACCCAGACCCCAAACTCCTGAGTCCTACCACTACATCCACCTCCACACCTTCCAACCACCACCATTGCCACCATCTGACTTCGATCACCCATCACCACCACCGCCACCTTTCTATTGCGCCCAAAACGAGTCACCACCTCCTCTGCCTTGCTATTACACCCAAAACGAGTAGGAGGCAAATCGATTCTCTCAACTTCCTTTAAATATATTTTATCCAAGGGTATTTAAGTTAATAAAAAATATTATATTTGTCAAATTTAAAACAAATAATAATAAAGTCAATTCACTATTGTCAGGTATCTTTGTTAATTTTAAACTTGAGGGGTGTCTTTTCTTTTTTTTATTGGCTAGTCATTTCCATGCCCCCCATGCTTTGTTCTCTGATCCAGAACTAATTGAACTCAAAATTACCCAGGAATTAAATTAAACATCACTAAATGAACTCTAACTCTAACTCTGAATTGTATGGTGCATCATTAATGAATGTTTTATATTTATCTTTTTCACAATTAATAACATATGTCATTTTGTGTTGCAAGTAAAATTATCATGTTTTATTTTATAAGGATTTTTATATTGAAGCAATTTTATGATTTTTAAAATACAAAATAAGGGTGCATGTTAGCCTATAGGTTATTTTTAAAAGTAAAAAATCTCCATCTTTCTAGAAAAGACACATTTTTTTTATTTTTAAAATACAAAACAAGGGTGCATCCTAACGCTTTGTTTGGAATGCCGGATTTGATGGGATTTGAATTTGGAAAATTTTGTTTGAGAACCACAGAAAAATTGATCTTATATTGCGCTTAACATATTGATCCTCAAAGAACTTTGGGTAGGACATTGATTTCTCAAAATTACCAAAAGTCTGTGTTTAACTGATTGATCAAATTTTTTTGTTTGGTATACTCCAGTATCTTAAACTACGTTTAATAAATTGATCTACCACCACTTTTGTATTCTTGTAGTTGAAAAATCTATAATACAAAATTGCTGCAATCCTCCATGATTCACGCCATTTTTTTGTTTGGTATACTCCAACAGATTGATCTACCACAATATGGAATTGTATAACCAAAAGTTTGCGTTTAACAATTGATCCATCACCTTCAAATTTTTTTTTTACTTACTTATAACCAAAAGTCATAGAATCCAATACTTTAGTATTGGTGTACTTCAAAATTTAAACGAATAAAGTATAATTTTATAAGTAAAAATCATATTATCTAATTCTTCAGAATTCACAGATAAGTCATTTATTTATATATATATATAAAAGCCAATATTACCAATGTTTATCTTTTATAATTTTTATTTTTTCTTTTTAAATAAATTTCATGTTTCAGAGTTCCATCACGTAATCAATCTCGTTGTTTGTTTTCTTCTTGCTATAACTTTGGACTTTGGAGTATATTTTGCAATAAAATAAATATTTCATTTATTATTTAAATAAGAGTAAAAATAGTATTATATTATTTCTATTCAAAATCCCATTTTAAATCCAATTTGTTACAAACATATAAATATAATTTCAAAAGTAAAAATCCAATTTGTTACAAACATATAAATATAAATATGAGTCACACTCAATCTATTTGGGTAATTGGGAAACAAAGAAAGTAAGGGTATTTTATTATTATTATTATTATTATTATTTTACTAATTTGAAGGGGGTGTCAATAAAATTAACTTAAATAGAAAATCTCTTAACTCTATTATTTTTTATCTTTAAATAATTTGATTATAAAAATATATATATATATACATATATTTTAAATAATCAATTTAAAGTTATTGGGACTCAATAACTTGGGGCAGAGAATCCCAACTCCTATTCAACAAACAAGTTGAACCTTCAATTTTTCACAAAAGTTTGTTATGCAATTGAATATTAATGTATAATTTTCTTTCCGTACAATATAATGTCAGAAATATTTTATCAAATTAAATTTCTCTATTATTTTCATTCATAATTTTTAAAGTTTTGAAACAGAATAGATCTGAGAAAAACTATACCAAACAAGCCTTCCGTTACCTAGAGGTTACCACCATATAAAAACATCATCAATTATTGCTCGCCTTAGGTTTTACTTTGGTTTGAGTATTCAAAAACTCATTTAAAATTATGCTTTATTTTTCTTCAAATTATAATAACTTTTTTTTGAAAAAAAAAAAAACCAAATTTAAATTTTAAAGTTAAAAGAAATTTATCAATAATGAAAAATATTTATTTTAATAATCCACCATTACTTATAATCATGATCAACGCTAGTTCTCCTGCTCCGATCTCCATGATGTTGAACAAGGGTATGTTGATCTTCAATATTATGAACTCTTTCCCAGAATATGCCCCAGTAGACGACACCAAAAAATATCCATCTAGTCAAATGATCCTCCATTCTTTTGTATCTGAAAATAATCAAGAATGGAATGCAACCATATAAGCTACACAACCCTCTAATATAACTCTCACTATAACCCTCACCCACCAAACCACTAGTAAATCTTTCAGACTCCATCACCACCACTACTATTATTCTCTCTACGCAGTACAAGCAAGCAGCCCACCATATATAGGGGCGGAGTCAGTGTATGCCCAAGGGCTCCATTTACTATAATATATATATATTAAATTTATATATATATATATATATATATATATATATATATATATTCTTCTCTAAAATTTTTATTTTCTAAAATTGTCTTTTAAATTTTGTACTTCTTCTACTTTTTACTCTTTAAATTCGTTTAATTTTCTTTTAGAAAATTCAAAATTTTCTTTTTGAATCAAACTTCAATTTTTTTTTCCTTTCAAAATTCTTTCATTTTTCTTTCCTTTTTAATTTTTTTGTTAACTATTTATCTTTCTTAAATTACTCATTGATTGACATATTACCTTTCAAAATTCTTTCCTTTTTCTTTCCTATTTTAACTTTTTGTGAACTATTTATCTTTCTTAAATTACTCATAACTAGGGATGTAACTTTTTTGTAATTACTTATTTTTTAAAAGTAAAATGTGAGATGGTAATTCAAATCTATATAAATAGGGACAAACTAGGTATCCAAATTTTTAGTTTTTAATTTAACATTAAATAATAAGGTTAAATATGTCATTTCATAATCCAGTTAACTACTCGAATATGAATATTGGGACAGGGTAATAACTTTTTTGAAAAATAATACGCCTTCCGAACTCCCCCTCCCAATATAGCGAGTTGGATCACATTGGAACTTTTAAAAAAAAAATCCTTAAATATATTTTTTTCTTAGATTCATTTCCAATCATGTTATATTCAGAAGAAGAGTCGACAATTGAGGTTAGAAGATTTATCACTTTT